GACACACAGCCCCCCCCCCCCCCCCGCATCTGGCTTCTGGCACTGACTGCAGAGTGGCCAGCGTCCTACCTCCACCCCCAGCTCAGCTGTGCCCAGCGTCCCCCCATGGGTCACAAACATCAAGGGATGGAAAAGTGTGGGGAGAAGAGGGCATAGAGAAAGCCCCTGGCATGGAGGGAGAATCAAGGATCCTGCTATGGGGGAGGGCAGGGGGAATGGGGGTCACACGGAGCCCCTGGCATGGCGGGAAGGAAAACGGGGGGACGACAAACAGAGCCCCTCACATGGGGGAGAGGGAAATGGGGGGCACAGAGCCCCTGGCATGAGGGGAGGGGGAACCCAAACGTGGCAGAGGAAGAAGTAGGAGGTACACAGAGCCCCTGGCATGGGGGGAGACTGGGGGCCCCTGGCATGTGACAAACAGGAGGTACCACAGTCTAGCAGCTGCTCCCCAGTGGCTGCGTTTGGGTGCCTCACCCTGGTCCAGGTGCTCTCATTCGGCCCCAGCCTTTCCTTGGCCTCCCGACACCCTGGGGGCACATCGGGTGCCAGTTCGCGGTGCAGCCCACCCGGGTATGCCAAAGGGCTCCAAGCCCCAGCCGACTCCGCTTTCACCGGAGCCGTCGATCCCACCAGCTTGTCTAGTGCAGGCCGGGGAACTGCCCTCAGAACAACGCCAGCGCCCCCCAAAACAAGCGCACGCCTGCACGCGCACCCTGCCTCAGTTTCCCCACCATGCCAGAGCATGATCTGGGGCTGGGGGCCTTTCCGCATTCTGCTGCCTTCTTATCCCCAGCCGCTGCTGGCCCAGCGGAGGTGCAAGCTAGCGAAACTCTTAACCCCTAAGTGGCTGGGGGAAAATGGGAATTTACACACCCCATGTCCCCCCCACCCCCTGCAGCAGGAGCGGACTTTCAATGTGCCCCTGCCCAGCAGCCTGACGCCCCGCCCACCCCCGATCAGCACACAGCCCCCCCTCAAAGGAAGCAGCGAGCGATCCGGGGAGCTGGGGCCAGTATAGACACGGGGCAGGGCGGCCCAGTACCAGGGTTAGATCCCCAGGGGTTAACTGGCCCCGCAATGGCTCACTCCAGGCGGTCGGCAGCTGTGGGAGGCGAGTGCTGCCCCCGGCTCACTTTGGGGATTTTCCACTGCCCCCCGCCCCAGCTTTGGCCCCCTGCGAGAACCAGCTCCCCCGGCTCAGGCAGTCTGCTTCCGGTACCCACTGCTGGGCCAGCGCCAAACCGGAACGGGAACGGCTTCGCTTGTTTGGGCTGCAGCGTCTTCCAGCCGGGGGCAGAGCCGGGTCAGCCCAGGGCTGCGTCCCGGCCCACGGGCCCCGCTGCTGCAGTGGTTTCATCACGTTCTCCAGGATGCGTAAAAAGTGCACAGACAGACACCCCGAGTGATCCCAGGCGGGCACACGGAGCCCCTGGCAGGGGCGAGAACATGGGGACCTGAGCATGGGGGGCAGGGAGGAACGGGGGGCACGCTGGAGCCCCTGGCAGGGGCGAGAACATGGGGACCTGAGCATGGGGGGCAGGGAGGAACGGGGGGCACACGGAGCCCCTGGCAGGGGCGAGAACATGGGGACCTGAGCATGGGGGGCAGGGAGGAATGGGGGGCACATGGAGCCCCTGGCACAGGAGAGAATGGGGGCCTCTGGCATGGGGGGGAGGGAGGAAGGGGGGCCCACAGAGCCTCTGGCACGGGCAGAGCATGGGGGTCACTGGTATGGGGGCCGGGGGCAAAGCAGGGCTTGAGGGAATGGGGCAGCAGAGGGGTATGGGGATGCACACAGAACGCCCGCTGTGGGGGAGGAGAATGGGGGACAATAGTGGGTGAGGGGGGCTATGGGGAAAGAGTGGGGGACCCTAACATGGGGGGGAGGGGAGAAGGGGGCAGCCAGAGCCCTTGGCGTGAGGGAGGAGTTGGGGGGGGTTCAGGGAGTCCAGAAATAGAGAGGGAAGGGGCACCTTGGGGGGTGCAATGCGTTCAACTCACAGAAGCAACACAGAGCACGATCTGCTAGGATTCCCAGCCAGCCGTCCCTGGCACTTCATACCCAGGGTCCTTTGTATCACAATAACAACTAGAAATTCCCCAGACACAGCTGCCCAGACACAGCCCCTGCTCCAGCTGAGATCAGGCTCCGTCGTGCCGGGCGCTGCCCAGACACAGCGAGAGACAGCTCCTGCCCCAGCTGAGATCAGGGCCCCGTCGTGCCGGGCGCTGCCCAGACACAGCAAGAGACCGTCCCTGCCCTAGCTGGGATCAGGGCCCCATCGTGCCGGGCGCTGCCCAGACACAGCGAGAGACAGCCCCTGCCCCAGCTGAGATCAGGGCCCTGTCGTGCCGGGCGCTGCCCAGACACACAGCGAGAGACAGACCCTGCCCCAGCTGGGATCAGGGCCCTGTCGTGCCGGGCGCTGCCCAGACACACAGCGAGAGACAGTCCCTGCCCTTTCCCAACTAACCAGGCAGTTTCCCAGGGGCAGGGATCATTCTAGTTGGCAGAGGCTGTTTCTGCAGCTAACTGGCCTGTTCACAACACAGGGACCTAGAGCGAAGCCGGGCCGAGGTGCCCACAGGGGCTGGGACCATGAGGGGAGAGATCACGTCCTGCTGCTTTGCTCCTTCCCTGCCCCGAGAGCAGGGGGGGTTGCATGTTCCCAGTCCCTGCCCGTACGCAGGATCGCCCCACGGAGCAGAGCGACTCCCTCATCGCCCCCTCCGCCGAACAGAAACGGCCCACTCCTGGGGAGCCGCTAAACGATCGCTTCTTTCCCTGCCCGGTCTGCGCCCCTTTGTGCCGGCTTCCCCGTGTCCACATGACGGGCTGCCTCGCTCTAACGGGACAGAGATTCGTTACAGTGGGACAACTTCTGTGTGCAGACAGGCCAGAGTAGGAGAAATAAACATTTTGGAAGAATTATTCAGTAATTAAATTAATAAAAAAAAAATAAATTAATAAAAAATAAATTAATTAATAATAAAAAATTAAAGTCAGTAAAGAAAGAGACATTCAGAAAGAGAAACACAGGGGTCCTGACCCCCCGCCCTACCTCCCACTCCTCTCCCAGATCTGGGGCTAGAACCCAGGACTCCTGGCTCTCAGCCCCCTCAGCTCTAACCACTAGACTCCACTCCCCGCCCAGAGCTGAGGCTAGAACCCAGGCGTCCTGGCTGCCAGCCCCTCTGCGCTGATCACGGGGGTCTATGGCAGACACACAGCCCCTGTTCTCCCCCACCCCGAGAAGGAAGGTCACTGACCTGTGAAGGAACCTGGACCCCAGGGGAGGAGCTGGACCCACAGCACCAGGCAGCCCAGCTCCAGCCTCATGGTCTTCGCTCGTAGCCAGCAGGGGACTGGAGCATGGTGGCCCCACCAGGCAGAGGAACTCCCCGCTGAGCGTCACGTGCTGGGCTAGTCCCACGGCCAGGGAAACGGGGCTGAGAGCCGCGGCTTGGGAGCCAGGACCCCTGTCCCAGCTTGGGAGAGCAGGGCCTGCTGGTCAGAGCAGAGATGGGGGTCAGGACTCCTGGGTTCTATCCCTACCTCAGGGAGGGGAGTGGGGTCTAGTGGTTAGAGCAGGGGAGCTGGGAGCCGGGACTCCTGGGTTCAATACCTGGCTCTGGGAGGGCAGTCGGGTCTAGTGGTTAGAGTAAGAGGTCAGGACAGGGCAGTCAGGACTCCTGGGATCTGTTCCTTACTCAGGTGCTTCTCTTGTGTGTTTGCAGGATTTCTCGCCTTCTTAGGGGGGCAGTTCACGAAAACCCACCTGCCTCTGGGACTCCTCCCCCCGGCCTGTTCCTGCCACCAGAACGGCCTCCCCTGCACTCAGAGGAACTTGGGTGCTGAAGCGAAGCAGTCAGGGGCGTGGGGGAAGCTCCGTGCTGAGCTAGCAGGGGGCTGCGGGTCGGGAGTGAGGGGCTCCGGCAGAGCAGGTGGGTGGGGGGTGGGGAGCCCAGAGCAACTCAGGCCTTATCTCCCTACCTCGCAGGCTGTCAGAGACCTGACCTAATAAAGCGGAGCTGCAAGCGCTGGATTTACACCCTGACAGGATGTGATCAGCCCCCGCCGCAGACAGCACAGCAGGGCAGGGGGGGTGTGGGCTCGGCCGCGCAAACCGGGGTCCTGCCTTAGAGGGGACGTGCAGCCCCCGGCACTGCCAGGCACTGACAATCCCGCTGTTACCAGACGGGGTCACACCGCGAGTAAGGCATGTCCTGCTTGTTCTAGGCCAGCAACTACAAGGGGTCCTGAAGCAAGAGGTAGAGAACCCAGGAGTCCTGACTCCCAGCCCCACCTCCACTAGATCCCACTCCCCACCCCATCCCTACCCGGCTCCTCCATGTGGGGCATTCCCAGATTTGCAGCCCCAGAGCCGGGATCTCAGCCTGTTACTGGAAAATGCCTGGTTAACAATTAACCCCTGAACCCGCCTGGGAGCCAGGCATGGGCCAGGGGGCTGGATCTTAGCTCTCTGCCCCTCACCCGTTCCCCGCAGGGTGTCTCAAAAGTGAGGCGACCTGGTCTTTGAATTTAGGGGTGTCTGGGGATCTGGGTCATTTTTAATCCAAAGCTAAAGGGGGGAAGGCCCCGCCAGGCAGTGCTGGCAGAGGATTGGGGAGCAGGGCTGTGATATCACCTCTGTACATGGAATTAGTGAGAGTCATGGGGTAACCCAACTAATTCCCAGGGGCAGGGAGTCCCACGAGTTAACCCCGCTAATATCCAGTGACAGGAAGTTCCGAGGTTAACCCCACTAATAGCCAGTGGCAGGGAGTCCTATAGGTTAACCCTACTAAAATCGAGGGGCATGGAGTCACATGAGTTAACCTACTAATACCTAGTGGAAGAGGGTCCCACCTGTTAACAGCACCAATACCTAGTTGCAGGGAGTCCCGCAGGTTAACCCCACTAATAGCCAGTGGAAGGGAGTCACGTGAGTAACCCACTAATACTCAATATGTTATGGCACGGAGTCTTCCAGGTCTATAACACAAATAACCAGCCGAAGAGTCCTGTGGTTTAACACCACCAATACCTAGTGGCAGGGAGTCCCGTAGGTTAACCCTGGTAATGGCCACTGGAAGAGAGTCCCATGTGCTAACTGCTCTAGCACCCAGTGGCAGGGAGTCCCATGGGTTAACCCCCTAAGACACAGAAGCAGCCCTTGAAATGTGGGCGAGGCTGGCAGGTGGCCCTGAGCTCAGTCACTGCTGCGCGCTCCAAGGCCCCGCGCCGGCCCTGCACTGCAGGCAAAGATGCTGCTCAGCATTTCAATAACTGTGTCAGTCTGTGGCCGAGCTCCGGGCCGATGGGGCCGGGGAATCGCACCGCAGGGCTGCGGGCTGGGGCTGTTTATCAGCCAGACCCCGGGCTGAGATGTCACAGCGCCGGGCGGCCTAGATTCACTCAGAGATAGCGAGCTCAGCACAGCCCCTTCAATGTAAGCATGAGACGGGGGGGCAGGGGATACTTTTAGTGGGAAGCAGGGGGGTCTAGTGGGTTAGAGCGGAGGGAAGTGGGGGCTGTAAGTCAGGACTCCTGGCTTCTCTCCCCGGCTCTGGGAGGGGAGTGGGGTGTAGCGCATAGAACAAGGATGACTGGGACTCTTCCATTGTGTTACCAGAATTACCATTGAGAGGTGTTGTCTCAAGCCAATGTCTTAAGCTCTCTGCACTTGCAGTCAGTGGATCTCTGAGAGGGGCCCTCACTTTGCAGTCAGTGCTGGCCCCAGTGCCCCAGCATGGCACTAGGGGGCGCTGTGCTGCAGGGGGCGGGATGGGGGCTCTCCCCTGGCAGTCAGGGCTGCTCCAATGCCCCAGAGCGGTGCTAGGGGGCGCTGTGCTGCAGGGAGTGGGGTCGGGCACAGCCCCACAACAAATGGGCGACAAGCACCTGGCACGTGAGAATAAAGACACAAACTCCATTTCTAGGCAGACACTTTATTGGGGCTGAGCAGGAGGGTTAGCGTCCGCCCTCCCCGAACCCAGTCACTCGGTGCCAGGCGATTTCGGCCCCAGGCTGGCTTGGATCCGCTCCCAGGCAGGGCTGGGGAGAATCGTGGCATCTGCAGGGTGACCGGCAAAGGGGGTCATGAGGAGCAGCAGAACCCAAAGCCACGGTTCCCAGGACAGCAGTTATAGCAGAAGCGACAAACGAAATCCTGAGCCTTCTGGAAGAGATGGAGAGACTAGAGTGAGGCCTGCCCTTATCTGACCCCCGACTACGTTCTCCCAAGCCGCTTTCCCCTCCCAGAGCTGGGGACACAACCCAGGAATCCTGACTCCCAGCCCCCTACGTTAACCACCTGACCCCGCTCCCTGCCCAGATTTTCCAAAAACTATTATTCAGATGTAGGTCTAGAGGCACTTTTAGATCTGGAAGATGAGTGGGGTCTAGTGGTTAAATCAGGGGCTGGGGGGAGCAGAGGAAGGACAAGGCTGGGAATCAGGACTCCTGGGTTCTATTCCTGACTCCCAGCAATGGGTGAGCACTAAAGGGTTATGTTCTCTCAGGACGTCAGAGTTCACAGACTGACCACCGCTGCCCTCTGCTGGGCAGGAGAGATGCTTGTTGGTGGGATATTACTGAGGTTAACCCATACAAAGTGTCGGACAGTGGAACTCATTGCTGCAGGATATGTTGGGGTTAACCCATGGGACTCCCTGCCACAGGGTCTCCTGGGGTTAGTCTGTTGGACTCCCTACCACTGGATTAATAATTCAGTCAATGTAGGGGATATTTTAGACATAAATCTGTCAAACCACCTGCCACAGGATTTTGTTGGGGTTGGCCCATGGCACCCAGCATAGCCCTCCCCTCCCCACATCGGTCCCAGCAGTGACACAAGCGAAGCCACCTCCCGCTACTCACCGCTTCTCTCTTCACCATCACCTTGGACTCGCCTCGGCCTTCCTCCAAGTGCTGGGACTCCGAACCCTGTCAGAGCGGGAGAGCAGGGAGTCACTTGTGCCCAACGTGTTTGTTTGACCAGCAGTCACGGCTCCGGAAGGATCACGGGGAATCTAATGCCCGTCTCTAAAGCATGTCCTGAGCGGACTGCTGGGCTCTGTCCCCAGCTCTGGCAGGGGAGCGGGGTCTAGTGCTCAGAGCAGGGGAGCTGGAAGTCAGGACTTCTGGCTTGTATCCCGGCTCTGGGGTGTGTGTGTGTGTGGAATCCACTGCATTAGAGCAGCGGTGGGAGGGGGCGTCTGAGAGGCAGGACTGCTGAATTCCATTCCCAGCTCTGTTGCTGATTTGCTGTGTGACCAGGAGAAACTCACTTCCCCAGGCAGAGCCTCAGTTTCCCCTCCCACCCTTTACTGCATCGAAATCTCTTTGGGGCAGGGTCAGCCTCTCGCTGTGTGTCTGGGCAGCGCCTGACACACCAGGAATGGAACAGGATCCCCCACTCACCCCAGCCAGGGACGCTCCACGGATTCCCTCGGCACAAAGGAGGGTCACGAACAGGAGCAGGACAGCCAGCATCTGGACTCTCATCTTCTCTCGGGGTTGGGTCTTCTCTGCGATCAGCTGAGTGGAGCTGGGAGCTACAGGGGCCTGTATTTATTCACTAGCTCAGAGCCCTCCTGGCCAGTGGAGTCAGTGATTGGCAGGGGAGGGGAGATTCCAGTAAGGATGGGGCTGGATGAACAGCTGTTTACCTACGATCCACATCCTTATGGGAAAAGACTCTTGTGGTTACCAAAATGCTTCTGAGTTTAACCAGGTGACAAGACCCTCTGCCAGTCAGTCCTGATTCTCTGCCCCCTGCTCTGACCTGCTCGACTGCCCCCAAAGTGGGGTAGAACAAGGGTTGCCAGTTTTGGTTGGATGTATTCCTGGAGGTTTCATCAGATACATTCAGACGGGAAATGCGCAGATTTTTAACAGTGAAGATAACGAATCACAGGAATAGCTTACCAAGTCGGGGGGGGGGGGGGAGGGGAGGATGGGGATGGGACATCTTTTTAAAAGATCCGCTTTAGGGATTATTTGGGGGCCGTTCTCAGGCCCATGTGACACAGGAGGTCAGATGAGATGATCACAATGGTCCATTCTGCCTTGGAATCTCGGAGTCTAGTGCATATTATGCCCCACAGCTACTGACATCTTCTGAAATAGCCGACAGAGCTGAGAGAAAACAAACAGGGAAAATACACACAAAAGGGAAAACCCAAGTCCAACCGACATTTCAAAAATATATTTTGGAATGACCTGAAATGGAGTGAATTTCTTTGTTTCAAAATGTTTCCTCAGCTGGGGCAGGGACTGTCTGTCACTGTGTCTGGGCAGTGCCCGGCCTAATGGGACCCTGATCTGTCGGGGTCTATCAGGGCACCTCTGTAATATAATTAATGACAAGTCCCCACAGCACTGGAGTCTGGGAGAGCAGCACCTCCGGGAATCTTTTCCAAGCTGATCCAGCTAAACATGGAGTCAATCAAAATCTCTGGCCAATTTTGAAAATATTGGCCTGTGTCCTCCAAACAAGACGGCCGGACTGTGGAGTGGTGTGAAAGGGTGTTAAAGGGAATTGGAGTCAAGTCATCTTGGTTCCAGCACCAGGTCTGGGAGGGAAGGGGGGTGTAATGGGTCAGAGAAGGGGGGGCTGGGAGCCAGAACTCCTGGGTTCTCTAGGGATCCCAACCCTCCAGGATGTCTCCTGGAACTGAAGATTAAGCTTTAATGAAAGATTAGGTCATCTGATGAAACCTCCAGGAATAGTTTCATCTTCCAGTCATTGGATCATGTTCCACCTTCTCTGAGAGATTGAAGAACTTGTTACCAAACATCCAATTCTTCCAAGACTCCCCGCAGGCTACAACAGGTGCTTATAAACGACTCCGGGCATGTCACCATGGGACAGAGCAGAGCACGGGACGGATTCTATTCCGAGGACATGACACTCTTCTCTTCTGCAGACTAAACAAGCCCAGTTCCTTCAGCTTCTCCTCATAAGTCATGTGCCCCAGACCCCTCATCATTTTCGCTGCCCTCCGCAGGACCCTCTCCAATATGTTCACATCCTTTCTGTACTGGGGGCCCCCCAAACTGAACACAATACCCCAGATGTGGCCTCTCCAGAGCCGAATAGAAGGGAATAATCACTTCCCTCCATCTGCTGGTAATGCTCCTACTAATGCCTGGATCTGCCCAGAGTGTCTCCTGTTCTGGGTGGGGGTGAGCCAGTGGGGCGCTTTGACAAAAGTTCCCCGTGACATGGAAATTCCCAGTTTCTAACAAGTCTCCTCACAGGGCTCGGATCCCGTCGGGTCTACAGAACAAATGCTGCTCAGCCACCAGGGAGTGTTGTCTAGGTCCCAGTTCGAGTGACCGGCCGCGAGATCCCAGGGCTGAGCTAGCAGGGGGCTGCGGGTCGGGAGTGAGGGGCTCCAGCGGAGCTGGTGGGGGCGGGGAGCGTAGAGGAGCCCATGTCGAATGTCTCTACCTCGCAGGCTGTCAGAGACCTGAGCTAATAAAGCGGAGCTGTGGGCAGGAGGTGATCAGCCCCCACCGCAGACAGCACAGCAGGGCAGGGGCGTGTGGGCTCGGCCGCGCAAACTGGGGTCCTGCCTTAGAGGGGTCGTGCAGCCCCCAGCTCTGCGGCTCTGCCAGGCGCTGACAATCCCGGCCGCTGTAACCAGCCGGGGTCACACCGCGAGTAGGGCTTGTCCCGCTCGTTCTAGGCCAGCACACAAGGGGTCCTGAACTCAGGGGGAGAGAACCCAGGAGTCCTGACTCCCAGCCCCACCCCCACTAGATCCCACTCCCCTCCCAGATCTGGGGCTAGTCCAGACTCCCAGCCCCTTCCTGGCTCCCCATGTGGGACATTCCCAGATTTGCAGCCCCAGAGCCGGGATCTCGTCTTGTTACTAGAACATGCCTGGTTAACGATTAACCCCTGAACCCGCCTGGGAGCCAGGCATGGGCCAGGGGGCTGGATCTTTGCTCTCTGCCCCTCACCCGCTCCCCGCAGGGTGTCTCAGAAGTGGGGTGACCTGGCCTTTGAATTTAGGGGTGTCTAGGGCTCTGGGCTGTTTTTAATCCAAAGTTCAAGGGGCGAATGCCCCCCCAGGCTGTGCTGACAGGGGAATGGGGAGCCTCCTTTAAGAATCAGAGGGGTAGCCGTGTTAGTCTGAATCTGTAAAAAGCAACAGAGGGTCCTGTGGCACCTTTAAGACTAACATCCTTTAAGACACTCCATGCTCTGGCCTTCTTGTCTGCAGGATACAGGGCAACATTTTCGGACGTTCATGGCCGATTTTCACGGACTCCATGTTCAGCTGGATCAGCTAGGAAAAGATTCCCGGAGGTGCTGCTCCCTCAGACTCCAGTGCTGTGGGACTTGTCGTTAGTTATATTACAGAGGTGCCCGGATAGACCCCAACAGATCAGGGTCCCATTGTGCTAGGTGTTAGGATATAGATATTCAGGCCTGCCTGTAAAGGCCTATACTTTCAGAATTTATCAGTTAGCTAGTTATAGAGGTATAAAACAAAGATTCAAAATCACTGTTTGCCTGTGTAATCACTTCTCTTCCTGTGACAGTCTGAGGCCCTGTTCTTAAGCTAAGGCCTTTGGCTAAACAGTGGGAGTAGCCCGTCCTCACACATTTCAAACCAGTCATATTGAAAAAAAGCCAATCTGGGGCTGTTAGAAAGGGGATCCGATCTATCACCTCCAGAGAAAGGGAAGAGCCTAGAAGATGTAAAAGGAAATTTAGTTTAATAGTTTTCTGTTTGGTAAGAACTCACTTATCAATAGACATAGTTGGGACACCCTTACGTCTTTATAGATGTAGTTGTGAAATCCTCACTTCTGTATTGTTTTGTTATTATAGTCCCCACTTTGCTATTGTTTATTTGCAAGGTCTCTGTCTGGTTCTGGGATTGTTTCTGTCTGCTGTATAATTAATTTTGTTGGGTGTAAACCAATTAAGGTGGTGGGATAGAATTGGTTAAATAATCATGTTACAATATGTTAGGATTGGTTAGGTAAATTTCAGTAGAATGATTGGTTAAGGTATAGCTGAGAATATTACTATATAAATTAGGGGCAAACAGGAAGTAAGTTGGGATTCGAAAAAAAGGAAAAAGGAACTTGGATTTAAGCTTGCTGGAAGTTCACCCCAATAAACATCGAATTGTTTGCACCGTCAGATTTTGGGTATTGTTGCTCTCTGTTCACGCGAGAAGGACCAGGGAAGTGGGAGGGTGAAGGAGTAAGCCCTCTAATATCTTGGTGCGTTACTCGGATACATCACATCGGATAGGCGAGTGGCAGCCTGTAAGTCCCCCTCCCCAACAGGCTGCGCAGATGCTTGGAGGGGGTCTGGCGAACTCTTGGGATGGTAGTTGCAGGTTCTGGCAAGCTGGGGTAACGGATTTTTTGAACAAATGGATAAGGAAGAATCAGGACCCATACCAGGTGCAGGGGTCCACCCGAGATGAGATTGAGAAGGAGACGGGGCAGATTTTGGGAGACCCCAAGGGAAAGGAGTGTAGGAAAAAGGGACTGGTATTACAAGGTTTGTGCGCTGGGACGGCATACTGGTAAAGGGAAGCCGATCTCCTCCAACACATTAAGGATTTGGAGGGGATTGTGGGTCAGCAACGGATTTGAACAGAAAAATCCGTGTTAGTGGTAGAGGTAGTGGATTTGAAGGCACGGGATACTGCACGGACAGAGGAGACTTGTGAGGCCATCCGGCGAGAGAGAGATGAACTGCTGGGGAGAGCAGGAGACTTAAAGGAGGAATTGTATCAATGTAAACATGGGGGCAATGGACTTGGGGACTGAAAAGTACTATCGATAATTAAATTGTCTCGTTAAACCGACCCCCCACCTGGTAAGGATACTCCCATCTTTTCATGTGCTATGTATATATACCTGCTACTGTCTTTTCCACTCCATGCATCTGATGAAGTGGGTTCTAGCCCACAAAAGCTTATGCCCAAATAAATTGGTTAGTCTCTAAGGTGCCACGAGGGCTCCTCATTGTTTTTGCTGATACAGACTAACACGGCTACCACGCTGAAACCTGTCACCATGCAAGCCCCTGCAAGAGAGGCTACGCGGGAGGACCTGCAGGAGGCAGGAATAGTGGCCCCGGTTGCGGGGTGGGGAGGACCATGCCCCCCACAAGTAGTAGAACAGGCAAAAATCTGCCCCTTGTCCCTGAAGGACCGGGAGGCAGTACTAGGCCGTTTGGGAAAGGTACCCTGGGATGACTTGGGATCGGTTTGTGCTGTGGCTAGTGGAGGTGGGCAGAGAGATGGAGGCTCTAACTCGTGAGGACCAGGTGATCCTATGGCGCAGTCTTTTGGGACGGGGTACCTTGGGAATCGATGTGGCAGGACTGGCACACCCATTTCTAATCCCCGGACAGGGGGCAAAACAGTTGTCTGGGGTGTACTCTCGTACTCCGGGGATGAATACGATGAAGCGAATCCCTGGGGAAACAGGGTACGGTCCACTGAATCGCATACAGGCATGGGCACGGGGCTGGGTGCATCCCTTGGACGGTCCATGGGTGATACCCCAGACAGGGGCACCAGGACCTGGTGGGGGTGTGGAGCAGGGTAGGGGTGTGGAATTGCTGGAGAAATGGTTGCAGCTGAGCGATCCACAGTTTGTGGGTCATTTAAGGTTGCAGCACCCTGAACTTGCTCCCAATCAACTACCCCAGTTTCTGGAACAGGTAGATGTGTGGAGGCAGATGCATCGGGGGAAGAGCCAGTCCATGTTATTACTACAGGGGATCAGTGGAAACGGGTGGGTCAGCCTGGAGGGGAGGAGGTAGAGGGAGAGGTCATGGCTTTAGCTGGGGGGCGTAGTCAGGGATGAGCGGGCAGCTATAGAGGAACAGATCAGAGACTGCAGGCTAAACCTACTACCTAGGATCTTACCAGATCAGGAGGAAAGTGGTTCCGGAGGCCAGGGGACTAGGACTAGTCTGCAGAAGAGAAGAATGAGGGGGGATTTGATAGCTGCTTTCAACTACCTAAAAGAGGGTTCCAAAGAGGATGGATCTAGACTGTTCTCAGTGGTACCAGATGACAGAACAAGGTGTAATGGTCTCAAGTTGCAGTGGGGGAGGTTTAGGTTGGATATTAGGAAAAACTTTTTCACTAGGAGGGTGGTGAAGCACTGGAATGGGTTAACTGGGGAGGTGGTGGAATCTCCTTCCTTAGAGGTTTTTAAGGCCAGGCTTGACAAAGCCCTGGCTGGGATGATTTAGTTGAGAATTGGTCCTGCTTTGAGCAGGGGGTTGGACTAGATACCTCCTGAGGTCCCTTCTAACCCTGATATTCTATGATTCTAAGACCTCCTCTTCCCCCTGAGTATCCATGATGCAGAACACAAAAAGCTTTCTGTAGCACCCAGAAGGCATTGCTGCTGGGAGGTACCTCGAACAGTCTCCTAATGAACACACAGTAGCTCAGGGAAGTTATGGGAGATTGCCAGGGGCGATGGGATGTTGACATCTCTACAGTTCCCTTCAGTACTCATGGAACATCGCGCAAAAAGTTCCTCTGAAATCACCTGGGATTTATTGCAGCTGGGAGATGTCCCAGGAATTCTAGAATACATAATCGGCTGGCAGCAGGGGCCTCATGACAATTTCCCACGGCCTTATCGGAGGATGACCTCTTCTCCCACAAGTCCACCAGAGAGACATGAAAG